GAGAACATGCAAACTCCACTCAGAAAGGCCCTGGTCCGGCCGGGATTCGAACCCAGGACCTTCTTGCTGAGAGGCGAGAGTGCTATCCACTCAGCCACCGTGCCGCCTATACTTCACTCCAGATTGTAGCCATGGGTTAATTTCCATCTGTTGCCACATTTGCACACTCTTTCACCCTGAACTATTGCACATGTTTTTAGTGGTAGGGGTACCCTCATGCAACATGGAACATGGAACATGGAACATGCAAACTCCAATCAGAAAGGCCCTCTTCCAACCGGGATTCGAACCCAGAACTTTCTTGCTGAGAGGCAAGAGTGCTATCCACTCAGCCACTGTGCCGCCCAATAGTTCATTAGCCATAAGCAGTATATCACCAGCACCACCAAAAGGGACCTCTCCCGCGTTGACTAGCTGATCCGCAAAGCTGGACAGGTCATATACTATAACCATACTATAGAGGGGCAAATGAGCTCCTTCTCAAACAGACTCCTGCAGCTCCGCTGCCACAGTGAGTTTTACAAGAGCACGTTCATGTCCTACTGCTGTACAACCGCTCTGTGACAGATAACACATTCATCTTAGCAGAGTTTCTCTGCTTTGTCCTTGTATATATTGTATATTAACAGATGTTAAGTTTTTTCTCACAATATTATCTTACCTTATTGTTATTATTTTCAGATTATTACTTTAATGTTATTTTTTGTGAAATACTATGCGAGCTACTGTGACAACGCAATTTCCCTTGTAGATCAATAAAGTCTGTCTAAGTCTAAGTTGAAGTTCCTCTGTCCCACAGCCTCTGCCCATATAAGCAGTAGACTTCTGCCATATCTATAGAGTATATCACTCTTCTGTGACAGCCTGAGTAGCAGCAGAGGACATGCACAAAAGACAACTTTTTTGTTAACCGTCCCCTTCAAGTATTCTTCAGCCAGTAACTTCTTTTGAATCAGCTGTGAAGAATATTCTTTGCCTCACTGATTTCTACAGCTCTAATTATTTCTAACATTTTCTAAAGTTGAATACAATGTGGATGAATATACACCAAAATACACTTTCATGCAGAAGGGGTATACTGATCAGTCAAATAGTAAACCATGCCAGTTAGTTATTTGTTAAATACATGTATTTATATATTTATAAATTATACTATATATTTACTGTTACTGAACAGCCTTGCTTTATCATACAAGAATAAATACATTGCATGAGAATTTATTTATTAAGCAGTTTGATACCTTTGTAAAGGGCTTTGTGACTCTGGTCTGTCAAAGGTGCTATATAAATAAATATTTCTTATTTACTTACTGACTTACCTTTAAAACATTCTAAATAGCCAATGATGGAAATAGACAAAAGCCATATTTTTGAGTCATATTTTATTGAAGCAAAACAGCATATTAAAGACATGCACACATTATTGTAACAGAAATCTGATGTTTTTAATCCATAACAATTGACTTATTGAAGTAAAAGTAAAAAAAGGTTATACTTCTATCAAAACAATAAAAAAGAGTAATAGTTGACTGTCTAAATATTTTCAACTGTTGTGTGTGCTTGGGGACTTTGTGAAGGATTATCCCCAGTGTGCATCCACCAGTGATCAGCCTGGTCAGTGGGCCTGTTGTGCATTCACTCAAACCATTAGCATATTAATACAGCCTCACTCTTGATCTCCTTCCCGCCCTCTCTCCGTCCCTCGCTTACTCCCTTTCTCCATACATGTTTCCCAGACAAAGTTTCTGCTTCCTGCAGTTTCAATCTATAAATCTCACCAATTTACACTATCCGTGCTGTGCAGTAGTAGTAGCGTGCAGTAAATATGAAGGTGGTCACGTTTTTCCCTCCAAAATGTCCCCTCGTCCTTGCCCTCGATCTGCTGGGTGGCTGGCTTCTCTTTTCAACTTGCCGGCTCGCCTAGTCACTGGCTACTTCATTCAAATCCTCTACTTTCTTTCTTTTTCCCTTTCTTTTTGTCAGGTTTACCCCCTGAACTTTGTCAAAAAATACAAACACACAGACAAATTCACAGGACTCCACACCCCCTATGCTCACATTCAAACCCCTTGCCCCAATTTCTCGACGATCTAGGCACATTTCCCTCTCTACATGGCAGTATCTGAAGAGCAATCCAAACACTTTCACCTGTGAACTTTTTGGGCTGAAACATTCATTCTTCCAAATGCGAAAATCCACTCTCTTTATCTGGTCTTTATGACAAGGAACCTGCAAGCAGAAATAGAAATGGGATCAGTATGTTATTTGTGTGCATCATGAGACACCAGCATCAGCTATCAATAGATCGTTCTCATAGAATGATAGATCTGCATCATTTGGCCATCTGTAGTTCATTAAACATGTCTTCTTCTTCTCCTTCTTCTTCTTCAAAAAAGCAAAACACATTTCATTCCTCTGTGAATATATGAAGCCAGGGGCATGATGTCCATCCACAACTCCTGGTTTCAATGAGTCAGACGCAAGAATTGCGTTTGGACAATCAGCTCCGGACCTCCATGTCTCTCTGTTTGTGCTCTGAAGTCTTCTGAATTTACCATATGAAGCAGCATTTTCATATCCGTCCAGTCATTGTTGACTTTAGGTTTTAAAAATGGCCTTTGACCCCTTGTGGCCTCAGGTCAGTGATTGAGGACAAGAAGAAGCATCAGAATAGGAGTGAGGTTGGAGCGGGAAAGAAAGGCAAAGAAAGGAGTGAAAAGAATAGTGGAGAAAGCTCTAACTCATGCTTGTCCTCTGTGTGGGTGACACCATGATGAACGGAGGGGTCACCACCCGGGGGCAGGCCTGTCCAAAAGGAGCGGCGATGTGACCTCATACAAAAGGAGAAGTGGGTCCCCCAACGGTCACACAGATCAAAGAAAACAAAGGCCTGAGATGATAACTCAGCACAGCAGTAGAGCGCATTATCATCAGACACATAAGCAGCAGCAGTAGTAAATTTAACTGAGGAGGCGGGAGGCCGTGGTCAAGGAAAAAAGTGAAAATTCAAAGCTGTGACTTGCTCTAATCTGATTTGCAGTATGCAACATTTTCTCTTTCTCTGATTCTCTCCGTGAGGCGGTTTCTCCTTCCAGGGGAGCCGTCTTTATCCAACTGATGTGGTCTTTGGGGAGGCCTGGCCTATTCATGGGATCCCCATGTGCTGTGTGCCCACCATTGAGGTGCAGAGCAGCATGGCCACAAAGGATGGCAGAGTTACAGTCACTTTTCCCCAACATTTATGTCTGCAAATATGGGTTTGGGTTGAATTTAAACAAAAATCTATCAGTTGACATGAATGGAGGCTAAAACATCAAAACATAATTATATGCAGTAGAAACACAATATATTGGAAATAACCCAAATAATTTAAAATCCACAATTTCTAATCCTATACAACACGGAACAGACACCTGCATCACAAGATAGGACATCAGCAAAACCTCCAGCAAAGAAACTCAAGAAAACTCCAGCTATTTTATCTAGAGGAATAAAGGAATAAAGTTTCGGAAGCTCCAAGACCCTCTCCTTCATTTCAACAATGCTCCCAATAGAAAGACCAAAGTGAAACTACAACACTTTAGAAGATGCAGATACAAGTGAAAAAGTACTGAAGTGCACTGAACATTTGGGCCTAATGCCCTGAATTTCTGCTCCGGGGGATCAACAAAATATCTATCTATTTATCTGTCTATCTATCTAGAGAGCGAGTGAGTACATAAATCTGATGTTAAATAGGCCTTAGAGTGTGGTCCTTAAAGTGTGATCCTTACATGTGTCGATGCGGCCTCCTGGTCTCCAGCGGCTCCACTTTAAGTTGACCATAGCTCTCGATGTCTGATTGCACTTGTCCTGCTTCTCCATCGTTTCCCCTCTGAGTCTGAGTCTCCACTGATCCTGAGACCTCCGGCCTCCCCTTCTTCTACTCTTTCAGCGCCCCTCCCTCCGCCTTTACATTTCCTTCACCCCAGCTCCCGGGCCCCGCCCCGCCCTCGCTCTCTCTCTCCCTCACTGACTGACTGTCTCTCGCCCACTCCCACTTCTCATTTCATGCAGCGGTGGGGTTACCTAAGAGACTGGGCATCAATGGAGAAAATCTCCTTTGGTACAATGAAGAGAGTGAGAGACAGAGGGAGGGGAGTGGGTGAGAGGGGTGATGGACAGAGCATTGGGGGTGTAACACTAAAACTAAAGTGAAAGTTGAATGCAGAAGCATGTAGAGTTAGTAACACAATATACAGTACAACATATATAAATCTGTTGTGTCTGTTTACATATATCTATATACATATAGATATATGAAGATATATATCTCTATATATAGATTTATCTACATAGAAACACAGAAACATCTATAGGCTTATGTAATATTTTAGGGAGATGTTTAGATATGTGTAATACAATTAGTTTTATATAAAAAACCAAGGTTATTTTATCTTACTTTTCAAGTTCAAAATCATTATTAGTTTGTTTCTTTGTTTTTTTGTTGATGACATCTCAAAACCACACATTATTGGTGCCACATCCTCACATCAGCCTATAGATGCAGTGTGGGCTCTCGTTATTACACAATTTCTCTTTAATCTATTCAATAGGCCTGTACAAGAGGTGTTTCCTAAATGTGGAGACAACACAAACAACCTTGTGTAGGGTTAGTCACTGATTAGCAGCATAACTGTTGCAGTTAATTTTGCAACGGCAGCTATTGAGCAGTTCAGGATGCTATTCAGCTCATCATTTGTTACTGAGTTGGCAAACAGATCCCCCACTGCTCGACTCTGTGTCTTTACAACTCTCTCTCTGTGTCTTTTCTCATTTAGGATGTGAGAAAACAATAGGCTAATAAAAGAATCAAAGACATAATTATGGCTGTGCCACATGCTTGAGCTCATACGCCCCACACTACAGATAGCAGCAGTGTGAAATGGAATCCGCAGGTGATTCTGGATCTCTTTTACATGTTCTTGTGCCAACAGTGACGTGTATTCTTGTTTTCATGTATGATCCGTCTACACGCCAAGGTGGATCTGGATCTGTGCAGTAATGACTCTATCAGGCCTGATTTCCGAGGCCCCTGCTGCGGGACCCAGTCTAAGGGGATGTTTGAATGTGGCCCAGGAGGAGCTGGGGGTGCTCTGCTCTCGGAGAGGGTGAGGGCGGATTGTCCACGCTCCGTGTCCTCACCCCTCCGGGTGGGGCTGAATGAAGTTATTTCTAGGCCCCTGTCCATCTGTTACCGTGGCAGCAGCAGTGACCAAGGTGTTGCCATGGAGAGGTGGACACAAAAAGGCGTGGCGTGGGAACGGGTCCAGGGGTCAGGAGTAAGGGTCAGGGGTCAGGGGTCGTGGCCAGCTGGACAGCACAAGAGGAGGCCGTGGTGAGAAAAGAAGGAGGGAAGCTTTGGTTCCTTTCACTTCTCTGGCCTTTCTTCTCTGGGTCTATGCAAAAGAGGGACAGGCCCAGGCAGTGGACAGCACTGGACATTAACATTGAACTGGGCCCTGAGATGAAAAGCCCTCGGGTTGAAGGGGGTGATCGGGAGAGCGGAGGGCTGTGGGGTTCACATAGTGGGGCCTCATCAGGTTTTGGGGGGTGCCCTTGTGTTTGGCCTGATACCTACTGGTGTCTAATCGCACATTGCATTTGACAGGCAATTGACTCTGTTCAATGTGGACGTAAAAGTGAGCATTGAGAGGATGGGCTGCGTGTGCGTCTGTCTGTGTGGCCATGACCAGCACTTTACCAGAGAAATGATTCCACAGCAAAACAAAAGCCCATTGGACATTTCCGTCTGCCCTGCTCAGTATAGACAGGTCTGATTGAAGGGGGGTAATAAATCAATATTTGCCTCCACATCCTGGGAACACTCTCCTGAAACATTCACAGATCAAATATAATTTTTATTATAATGGAAAGATTTAGTAGGTGTCGTTGACTTATATATCTGTGCATCATGCGGATTTTGTTCCAGATTGTTAATATTGTGATATTTTATTCATATTAAGTTAATCAACAACTTAGTTTTATGGCATCTCCACATCCAAACAATCCAAAGAATGTTGTGTGACTTTCTTGCAATATAAGTTCAAAACAGATATAAAAGTTTGTTATTGGAGGTAAAACATGCAACATTTCTGCTAGTATATGTAGCATGCTCTACATCTAGATATGAAGTAGATTTTCCAAATTGAAATGTTCCCAAATCCGTTACAAAGTGAAGGTGACAGGCGTCCTCCATCTGCATCAGTTGATAACACATTATGACAACACGGATAAGAAGTTGCTTACAAAGCAATTACACACACAAGAACACGCACATGCAAACGTGGAGCCGCAGACACAGGCCTTAAACTTTCATAGCTGCAGGGACGGAGGTTCTGGGGGCGCTCCAGTCCTCTGCACCCCACAGTAATAGGATTAGGAGCAGGCCAAGTCCAGAGCTCTGTTTGACACCTTTTGTCCCTGATCCCTGCGATGCATATCACTGCAATGGGATGAGGGACAAAGGCTTTTGAACATTGTGTTGTAGCTACAAATATTCCTCCATAAGAATACGCTGAGCCCTAACACCATAATATGAAGGGACAGCGTATTTGACATCTTAATTAACGAAACCCTATCAAGACAAAGGCAAGTTTTGTTTTTTAACAAATGCTATGTGTGTGATGTTTTGGGATTCAGTCTACATCTTTAGTAAGTATAGTATTATGCACACCATTTTGCACTTTTCATTTTCATCAATAAAAGGTGCAAAATCTTGAATAAATGTATGTGGCCATACCCGCGCGTGAATTCTTGATCCTGTCCGATTGGGCTGGGCCTGGATAGTACTATGATAGTAGTAGGCCTCAGTGGGGGACACAGTGGGTGTCACAGTACTGATCTGTGGCCAACTATTTTTGAGGGAAACTATTTTGAGCTCTCCTGTGGTGTGGCTGCTGCTGTAGATGTATCCACATCTTGTGGCATCATCCTCAGGAATCAGGAATCAGCAACTCTTGGCCTTATGATACATAAGTGCTGTCCAGTCAGCCATATGACGTTATGCAAGTGTATAATGGTGTAAGAGAAAAATAAGGTTCTAGAATGACTTTCCGTTGCCTGGTGTGTAGATGGAGGGCTCAGTACAGGTGTCAATCGTGTCGATCGTCAACTACATTGATATTCAAGTGGTTTTTGCTTCTCTTCCTCTGATCCAGGGCCTGCCTCAGGAGGTGACACAGAGATGCTCTGTCCTCCAGTTTCAGCGCTCCATAGACCAAAGCAGTTTTATGACCAAACGCCCTCTTCCTGCCCAGCCACACAGGGATCAAAGTCTACGTAGTCCATGTGAGTAGTATTTTTTTTTTTTTTAAGTTTATGGATTTGATTTGTCATCATAAAACATCAAACCAATCAGCATAAAGACTTTAAACCTACAGGAGTTAATTCAAGAAGCCTGAAAGTTTTAATGGTTTGGTATCTCACAGGGAAATGCAATCAACATCAGTATCTGTTGATTCAAGAGAGCAACATAGAAATATGAGCAACAAATGAATAAAATGTGAATAAATATTGATTAAAAACACATAATGATACTACTGTGTGGGCATGTATGTTTGAAGTTTAGCACTGTAATAACCAGAAAAAAACACTGAAAAATACTTACTGTATTCCATTTGAATGAAGCTTGTTTGGAAGTCACAACTCAAAATTACCATTTGTAAAGCAAGCCTCATAAGTGCCCAATGAAAATTACAACAAAGAACACTGTGAAAAGTTTGTTTTTGGTTAACCAACTAATAACTAATATGATGAGGGATAGAAATATAACACTATGGTCTTAACAATAATGATATATAATTAAATAATAGATAATTATAATATAATATGAATTTTATTTATTTCAGCAGAAGCGAGGTCTTACCACACCATCGTACAAATGTATAATTTCATGATCACTTCTGGAGTTACTTTCTCAGATGTACTCCGGGTCTGCTCTTTCATTACAATAGGAAATCACATTGACATCATGTTCAAACATGGGAAAATGAGCGCCATTATTTAGGGAGTTTCCACAAATCCAAAGGCACAACAATATTCATACTGTACTTGCTTCTTTTTGATGTTGCTTCTATTTTGTATTCCAGTGCAGGTAATTGTTGTTCTATCTCTACTCGTCACTTGATTATCTTCTTATGTACCATTAACAATAAATAAATACTTTGTTGTGTCCTTGGGCAAGACACTTAACCCCACTTTGCCTGAAGCCCCCGCTGGGAGATCAAGGCTCCTGTGGACTCACCACCTGCAGGAGGATCAGTGAGGGGCTGGTGCCATGTGTACTGGGTGCAGCTCTGACTGCCATCCCCCCCGACCCAGAAATGGATTAAGGGGAAGAAAATGGATGGATGGAAATACATAACAATGTGCCGCCAATCACAAGACACTTAAAAGGTGATTTGGCCACTCTTCCATCGAGCCGTCTAAAAATGTGTACAGGTTTAAGTTACATTTTACATGTAAAGAATCTTCCCTTTAATGAAAGAGTTGGAACAAGTCTAGCCGCCAGTGTTGGATCTACAAGAAAATGGTATCGTTTTTGAGTAACACAAAAGTAACAATACTTGTAATTAGATTGCAGTTACTTGAATATTATTAGAATTTATATTTGTTAGTTACTTTCAGAACAATCTCTGACCAATTAAATGTGAAGCTTCAACATGGAGCATTCAGAATGTGGACATTGATCCTGCATCATACACACCTCAAACATGTTTCCAATATTTTCATTGTTTGTTTGTTTTTGTTCACAGTAATTATTCTTCTCATCCATGTCACATCAAAAAAATAATGAACAAACAAAAACACAGAAATGTTATGACAAAAATACACAGTAACATACACAGTAATGTATACATACATATATTTATCACCATCACACATAAGAATACAAAGAATATTTGCTCCTCCCTCTTACATACTCACTCAAATCCACTGAAGTGCATTTAAATTTGCCAAATTAGTGAACAGAACTCTATATGTGACAATTGATTCAACTTTGACACAGGTTCTTCCCATTTTGTTATAATAATGTAATGTTGGTGTTATGTCAGAGCATCAATGAAAGATGTTGAAGATGTTTTAATTCTAAAACACAAAGCTTTACATTTGATACTGTTGTTGCCTCTTTGTGACCATCATAACCAGGATAGTGTTATGGTTAGAACATTGGAATAGATGTTACACACTGGGGTTTTTGAGTGAAAAAATAGTGTTTTTTACACAGTGAGGAGCCTTTAGAGCGAGGCCTGTGGTCAGAGAGTGACTATAAAAGCGCTGCAGAGAAAGTGGTCCACACACTGAGAAAAAGAGCGGGACATTCATGAGAGCCGCACTGGACAGGGCCAAGAGGGCAGCCTGCAGACAGCCTCAGAAAAAGCACATTTACCTTGAACTCCAGTGTCGCGTCTGTGAGGCGGGGCCCGGCCTGACAGGGTCAGAGACGGAGGGAGCGGTTGAGAAGCAGGGCCACTGCTGCCCTGGAGGTCGTGGGGTGCTAACCCGAGGGGGGCGAGTGTGTGGGCAGTGGGGGAGGGGGCTCTGATGTGGTGAGGTGCAGATGCTCAATATGCAGATGTCTAATCGAATTGTGTGACAATGAATTGGCTCCAGTCCTGATTTGCATCAGGACAATCTCAGGGGTCAGTGGAGTTCCCCTGGACCAAATGAGCAGCCGGCTGCAGACACCCCTGAGAACGTGTGAACTTGAAGTAGACTTTACTTAATGACGAGAGTATTGATTGATTGGGATTTCTGTCTGTCTGTCTGGGAGCACATTGGACATCTGTCCTGCAGACTTTGCTCCCAAAATAGTATTATATCATTGATAAGTTTGAAATATTGATGTTGATCTCATAAAGTTTCCTGAAATGAACCACAAGATACTGTAGCTGTTGCAGTGTTTAGCATGCAGTGCCACAACATATAAGAGCATTTATTTCAAATTTATTTCATAGAAATACATGCAACTCCATGTGCTTGACAACAGATACTGCACACAATCACAATCACTAGTGACAAAAGTCTATTGCAAGGACAGTTTGAAGAAATCAGTCTTCAGTTTACGCTCAATGGTCAATACATAAATATTCTTTTGGTTTAATGTACATTTATTCTTAATTAAAAATACATTGGACTTGAAGCCACGTTATTGATGTCCAATCAGAAAGCAGCATCTCCTCAACCCCTGTGGTACGTCAGCTCAGTCTGAGCGGCAGCAGAATGACCTAGTTTTATACACATTGGTGACTTATGGTATTGTAGAACTCTACTTGAGAGAGCAGTTCTGTGTGATGCCCTGTCTGGTGCACACTGGGCTCCTCTTACACAGGTGTTCTAATGAAATAAACTAAATCTGCATTCCACCTACTGTATTCAGTAACAGTATTTTAATGTTGCTTGAAACTGAGTATATAGTACAAGGTCTGAGTATATACAATAAGGTCTGTAACAAAGTTGGAGACACACAACCAGGAGAATGAATGTGGGCTAGTAATATTCCAAATGTAGATAGTTTTTTATGTCTTCTTTTTGTTTAAGGCTTATGATTGCCTTTTAACATAGGTTGAAAAGCTAGTACTGCTTGATCACTACATGATTGGACTGTAGAAATCTGCCTTCGTCATCCTGTAACAACAGCTGATCAGATACACGTCACACCAACACGTGTCTGCTCTGATGAAGCCAAAGTCCACCAAAGAAACATGTAGTAATTAAACAGGATGAGCTTCTTCGCACTCTTTGTCTTATAAACAACCTTATAAGCCTATTAATTATCCAATTACAACACCCTTGTGTTATCAGAATTGTATTGTAGAACGTTTATTTTCATCCAATAACTGCTACTGTTACTGCAGTCAGAGAGGGCTTTATCAGAAGATGATCATTTATTATCATCATCTATGGACATTGGTCTCTACCCCTTAGGGACCAATGGCTCGATGTGTTTTTATCATTGCATTTTTTGTGTTGAAATTTTTGATTCTCTGATCTGTGTTGTCAAATTCAACAGTTTTGTTAAGTCCTTAGGATAACTACTGTTGTGATTAAGGGCTATACAAAAATAAACTGAATTGAAATTAGGTATGGGTATAGGTATAACTGGATGGATTGTGTTTATTTATGATATGACCAAGAGGGAGTAATAAGTCCTCGTTTAGACGGAGACGCTGCAAAGAAATGACCAAAAACAACTAGGCTCCTTATTTGAAACTGAAACTAGAGCTTTGCATGGTTTTGTTTGGACGAAGGAGTAGAATTCTCCCCCGTGTAGCACACAAAGCACACGATAGCATTAGTGTACCCGCCGCCAATGTTGGTTACGTTTGTTCTTGGATACTGCACATGTCAAAATGTATGTGCGGGAAGTAGCAGGCAGATAATTTACACCTTTTTCTTCACGCGGCTGAGAAACAGCCCTCCGCCCAGTAGCATATCTGTTCTGTTCCACTCTGGAAGCTGTTTCTCAACGTTCGCGTTTTCACCCCCATGAAACACCGTCTTCATGTGAACAGGAGGCCAAATCGACACCCAACTCTACTGTTTTACTGTTGCAGCGTCTCCGTCTAAATGGGGTCTTAGACTGCTGCTTCCGTGACCCGACAACGGATAAAGCAGAACATGGATGGGTGGATGGGTAAAACAAAACAAGTTCTTCATTATTTGTCTTGAGACTCTTCATCAGGAAATGAACTTTAAAACATGGACACAGAAACGGGCCAAAGACCACAAAGCAGATGTGATTCAAATCATATTGTACTACTGTAAATCAATGGGTACAACATGTAAGTAAGTTCACAGACTAGAGTCACAAAGCGGTTTACAATTGTTGTTTTTGGGCATTTGTCTCTCACTCCACACAGAGATGGGAGCGGGGTCGCCGAACAGGAGGCGCATGCCAGACCTATTGTACATATTTTTAGTGGTAGGGGAAACCGGAGTACCCGGGGGAAACGTACGCAGACACAGGGAGAACATGCAAACTCCACTCAGAAAGGCCTTGGTCCGACCGGGATTCGAACCCAGGACCTTCTTGCTGAGAGGCGAGAGTGCTATCCACTCAGCCACCGTGCCGCCCACTCTCTAGTCTCTCAATACAAGTGCAATGCCGTTAGCGTATCCAGATGTCCTGCATCTCAGCCAACAATATCTTCTGCCAGAGGGAAGAAGCTGGAACATCGCTTTTCCAGGGCCCTGAAGAGTCATTGATCAGTATATAACATGTGTTTGCTTCATGTCTCCCATCAAACCCATTTAATAAATCTACTAGTTACAGTGCCTTGCGAAAGTATTCGGCCCCCTTGAACCTTTCAACATTTCGCCACATTTCAGGCTTTAAACATAAAGATATAAAAAATATATTTTTTTGTCAAGAATCCACAACAAGTGGGACACAATCGTGAAGTGAAATTTATTGGATAATTTAAACTTTTTTAACATACTACTTACTTACTACTACTTACATGTCTTCCTGATCTTGTCCAAATATCCAAAGGTCTTTACGGCTGTGTACCGGCTACAGGTGAGCCCTGTTGCTGTAGCGCTGCTTGTATTTGCAAGCTCCAATAAAGACAATAGCAATCACGAGGAGACCGACGATCACTCCAATGACGAGGCCCACGGGAAACATCTTATTGGGAGCTATGAAGGAAAAAAAACAGATTAAATATTGACAATAGAGTTTCCCAAAGTGGAGATCAGGAACCCCAGGAGGATCTCTGGAATCTGAGCTAGAGATCAACTCATTAGAAATTCTATAGAATTCATCTCTGAGAATTGGCTCTCTGGTCTCTCTCTGAACTCTCTCTCTCTCTCTCCCTCTGGTCGATCTCTCCTTTCTCTATGGTCTCTCTCTGGTCTCTCTCTCTGGTCTTTTTCACTGGTCTCTCTCTCTGGTCTTTTTCTCTGGTCTCTCTCTGTTCTCTCTCTGGCCTCTCTCCGGTCTCTCTTTGGTCTCTCTCTAGGCTCTCTCTGGTCTCTACCTGAAATCTCCCACTGTGGGACAAATAAAGTAACTCTTATCTTGAACTCATATCTTATCTCTGGTCTCTTTCTGGTCTCTGGCCTCTTTGTCACTGGTCGGTCTCTCTGCTCTCTGGTCTCTCTCTGGAGTCAGAGGTAGAACTTACATTTAGAAATATAAAAATAATTTCAGTAAAGATAATGACTGCCTTTAAACAAGATTTGCCAATGGAACAAAGCAAAATTATCTTTTTTTAAAGTAGCAATATGTAAGATTTTCATGTGAAGTCATCATTAAATGGCCCTAATCCTTCAAGATAAGATAAGATAGACTTTATTGATCTCACACAGGAGAAATTTACAATGTCAAAATAAATAAATGAATTCAGCAGAAATATTTTAAATTTAAAAATTGTTTTCCAGCCCCTAAATCATGTTATTGTTTTCATTTCAATGTCCCGCCCTCCACCGTTTCACCAATCAGACAGTCCATGATCTGGGTTGCCAGAACTCACCGTGTCGAGCTAATCTCACTGGTAAAGTAACAAGAATTAGAAAAGTCTCGTTATAATTCAAAGATTATTAATGAGAAAACTAGGATTTCTATCGGGGGCTTTGTGAAAATGGTGTTGGTCATAGATTTGTTGTTGACAAAACTCTTGTCTATTCAACAATTATGGTCCCTGAAGGATTCGTCTGCATATCTGGCAACCTGAGTCAGGGAGAGTGCATTGCCACTTTTGGCCAGATTTGAACATACTGCTCCTTTAAGTGCATTTCTTGTGTCTCCCTTAAATGTCTCCCTTGGAATCAGAAAATAAATACAACAATTCTTGAAATAAGAATTTGTCCCCTCATCCCATTGGCAAATCTTGTTTTCAGACAGTCAGAATGAACTCAAATTAAGATAAAAACCACTCAATTTAAGCATGTATCACCTTCTTGATGACATTTTGCAGTGTGTGTGACTTACAGTCGGTGAACTTGATGACTTCTTTGTCCAGAGTAATGTTCACACTCTGGCTGGTACCGTCTTTGAACACGAACACACATTTGTAGCGGCTCCATTCCTCCACAGCTACAGAGTATACGTCCAGGTCCACACTCATCTGGAAGGTCTGGTTGACCGTGGGCAGGATTTCCCCTGGTTCCTCGCCGTCAGGCAGGAGGTCTCCATCTATGGTCCAGAACAGTGTGGCTCGGTTGGGGTAGAAGCCTGAGGCAAGGCAGGTGATGGGAGACGGGGGAGACTCCAGCAGCAGGGAGAGTGTGGGCAGCTCTGCACAAAAACATTTAAAATAGGCTTTGGGGAAACTCATTGTAAAGACATTTCCTTGACTGGATGTTGGTTTATCTTTGAATGTTCTGGAAACGGTAGCGAGTCCTAAGCCGCTCAGAAAGAGTGGTTGTCTTGTGTTTTACAATCGTTTACTTTTTCTTGATTTTTTTCTCTCGCAGTGAATGTTACTGCAATATAGTCTTCATGTTTTTAAGATAATGATAAGATAGACTTTATTGATCTCACATTGGAGATATTTACACTGATCCAGACCAGAGCAGATAGAAGGGTCCCAACCAAGCAGATCAAGTGGAAATCTACTGGAAGAATGCTAATTTTGTTCTTGTTGTTGTTGAAAAATCCTATTAAATCATTTAGAATTTCACTCTGATCCAGAGCAGAAAAATGGTCTGAACCAAGTAGACTCTGCACACAAGAGGAAGCAGCTCATCACCAGCAGCTACACCACCTCTGCTGCTGCACTTTATTACTATTGAATAACACTTTTAGAATTATGTATTTATTTGTTTGTATGGATGGATGTGTTTCTGATGCTGGACACCTGAATTTCTATTTTATAAGGGTCAATAGAGTATCTATCTATCTGTATCTGTCCAACTATACATTTTTATGTTCATTCTTTTCTCTAATTATCTCTATTAAGATATCACAATAACAGTTTTCTTGTGCAGAGTTTTGAGAGCGAGAAACAAAAGGTCGACAGATGAAAACAAACACTAAAAGGATCTGGGCCGACACGGGTCAAACATGTGACTCAACCACTGGACTGTTTTTTTATTTAAGGTCGAGCTTAAGCCTAGTGATTTTAATTTTAATTTTTAATGTAATTTAAATGGTCACATGTGCTACAGTCCCCAGTGTGAAGCTGACAAGTACAGGAATAAAACAAGCTAAAAAGCTACAAGAAACAATTGGCACTGCGAAACCAATCAACAAAAACAGTTGAATGAATGAAAGTTTCAATACAAGCGCTTTGTTCGGACTGATAGCTGCTTGTGGAAAGCTCTGGTCTATCCCTCTGGTCTCTCTCTGGTCTCTCTCTGTGGTCTCTCTCTAGTCTCTCTTTGGCAAGTAAGTAAGTAAGTAATGTTTCTTCATACAGTACATTTTTACAGACCAAGGTCTCCCAAAGCACTATGCAATTTTCAGAGTTCAGATACTTTTCCATTCATCCATTCACTCACTCATTACATTCAAAGTCTTTGGTCTCTCTCACTGGTGTCTCTCTTTGGTCTCTCTCACTAGTGCCTCTCTCTGATCTCTCTCTCTAGTCTCTCTCACTAGTGACTCTCTCTGATCTCTCTCTCTGGTCTCTCTCACTAGTGCCTCTCTCTGGTCTCTCTCACTGGTGTCTCAAGATTCAAGATGAATGTATTATGACCCGTTGGAAATTTGTCTTGGACTCACAGGCTGCTACATTTAAAATACACATAAGACAGATATGAAACACAACACAGTAACACTGACATAAACCATCACTGCTCTGCTCGATGGCCTGCATCCAGGAGGTTCACAGATATGGATAGGAATGAGTTCTTCTCTCTTTGGTCTCTCTCACTAGTGTCTCTCTCTGGTCTCTCTCTAGTCTCTCTCACTAGTGTCTCTCTCTGGTCTCTCTATAGTCTTTCTTTCTCTTTAGTCTCTCAATACAAGTGCAATGCCGTTAGCGTATCCAGATGTCCTGCATCTCAGCCAACGATATCTTCTGCCAGAGGGAAGAAGCTGGAACATCGCTTTTCCAGGGCCCTGAAGAGTCATTGATCAGTATATAACATGTGTTTGCTTCATGTCTCCCATCAAACCCATTTAATAAATCTACTAGTTAGAGTAGAACCTTTCAACATTTCGCCACATTTCAGGCTTTAAACATAAAGATATAAAACATTTTTTTTTTGTCAAGAATCAACAACAAGTGGGACACAATCGTGAAGTGGAACAAAATTTATTGGATAATTTAAACTTTTTTAACAAATAAAACGCTGAAAAGTGGGGCGTGCAATATTATTCTTATAATATTATTATTGCGCTAATACTTTGTAGCGCCACCTTTTGCTGCAACTACAGCTGCAAGTTGCTTGGGGTATGTCTCTATCAGTTTTGCACATCGAGAGACTGGAATTCTTGCCCATTCTTCCTTGCAAAACAGCGCGAGCTCAGTGAGGTTGGATGGAGAGCGTTTGTGAACAGCAGTCTTCAGCTCTTTCCACAGATTCTCGATTGTATTCAGGTCTGGACTTTGACTTGGCCATTCTAACACCTGGATACGTCTATTTGTGAACCATTCCATTGTAGATTTGGCTTTATGTTTTGGATCATTGTCCTGTTGGAAGATAAATCTCCGTCCCAGTCTCAGGTCTTTTGCAGACTCCAACAGGTTTTCTTCCAGAATGGTCCTGTATTTGGCTCCATCCATCTTCCCATCAATTTTAGCCATCTTCCCTGTCCCTGCTGAAGAAAAGCAGGCCCAAACCATGATGCTGCCACCACCATGTTTGACAGTGGGGATGGTGTGTTCAGGGTGATGAGCTGTGTTGCTTTTACGCCAAACACATCGTTTTGCATTGTGGCCAAAAAGTTCGATTTTGGTTTCATATGACCAGAGCACCTTCTTCCACATGTTTGGCGTGTCTCCCAGGTGGCTTGTGGCAAACTTTAAACAAGACTTTTTATGGATATCTTTGAGAAATGGCCACTCTTCCATAAAGGCCAGATTTGAGCAGTGCACGACTGATTGTTGTCCTATGGACAGACTCTCCCACCTGGGCTGTAGTTATCTGCAGTTCATCCAGAGTGATCATGGGCCTCTTGGCTGCATTTCTGATCAGTCTTCTCCTTGTTTGAGATGAAAGTTTGGAGGGACGGCCGGGTCTTGGTAGATTTGCAGTGGTCTGATACTCCTTCCATTTCAATATAATTGCTTGCACAGTGCTCCTTGAGATGTTTAAAGCTTGGGAAATCTTTTTGTATCCAAATCCGGCTTTAAGCTTCTCCACAACAGTATCTCGGACCTGCCTGGTGTGTTCCTTTGCCTCCATGGTTCTCTCTGAGCTTTAAACAGAACCTTGAGACTATCAAAGAGCAGGTGCATTTATACGGAGACTTGATTACAGGTGCATTCTATTTATCATCATCAGTCATTTAGGACAACATTGGATCATTCAAAGATCCTCACTGAACTCCTGGAGTGAGTTTGCTGCACTGAAAGTAAAGGGGCCGAATAATATTGCACGCCCCACTTTTCAGGTTTTTATTTGTTAAAAAAGTTTGAATTATCCAATAAATTTCGTTCCACTTCACGATTGTGTCCCACTTGTTGTTGATTCATGACAAAAAATTAAAATGTTATATCTTTATGTTTGAAGCCTGAACTGTGGCGAAATGTTGAAAGGTTCAAGGGGGGCGAATACTTTCGCAAGGCACTGTAGGCCAGTTATGAGTCAGAAGAATTCATTCATTCCTAAGCGTTCAGTTCCTCCAGCAGGAGGACGAACATAGGATCAAACTTCTGACTGCATATTTTAAGGGGGACACACATCAACGTTACAAATCACATTGATTGATTTACATATTCTTCTTATATTCAAAGGCTACTTAGATCAAATACTGTCAGTTCAAAAGATTTACTTTTACAAAGAGGGAACAAAAACATAAAAAACAATATTACAAACCATTTGTTGTAGTAAACAAGGTAATAAGTGCTCAGGATGCTTTAAAAACCAAACAAAATGTAATTGTATGCAGGTATGCAGCAGCTGTAGTGACATGTTAAAGCATGTGTTCTGATGTTGGTGATAAGGAATTTCACATGTTCTTTCTATTCTGGGATCAATGTAAATGCTGGCATGGCATTAAAACAATTAGAAGACAAGGGGAGCACATACCACGACAACATGCACGGTCAAATTCTAACATGAAATGGAGGTTTCTTATTGTCACATCTCATCTCACACTATTTCAGCTCAATCTGTTTGGTAGTGTTTTGTGCTTTCCTGTCTACACTACAAAAAGAGACGGAAAAATAAAGCAATAATTGCTTAAATTTGGTTAAATCTATAATTTGAGCACAAGATTACTGCCTAAAACAAAGCAAAATTATCTTGTTCTAAAGTGATACAAGAAATGCTTCTCTTGGAATGAGAAAATGAAGCAACAGTTTTTAAAATAAACTAAATGGCTTTGTTCGATTGGTAAATCTTGTTTTAAGACAGTCAGAATGTATTCAGATTAAGATAAAAACCATTCCATTCAAGCAGTTATTACCTCATATTTGAACTCGCACACACAGACAAACACATTACCTCTGGCTTGATGAGGTAAAAATGGACGTACCTGAAAACGACACCTGGACAAACAGAAGCAGCACAATGAACCTCATGTTGTCCGGATCAAACATGGAACTGCCTCCAGGCCCCGCGTGCAGAGTTGAACCAGGCATCTGAAGGTGTGGCCACACAACACAGAACTTGTTTAACCTGTGTGACACTGTCGTCCTATCAACTGCTTTTGTCTCTATCTCCTTCTTTATATCCAATAACCTCTTTTCAATTACATTTTGCTTGGGCCGACAAAAATCGTCTTGTAAAAGTCAAATGTTGCAGCCAAATCGACTATACAGCATACGCTGTTTTTACAGTAAGGGCAGGCTCCTTTTGTGGCACCGGCACCTGCCACAGCTGATTAGTGGCATGTACACAACAAATGGCGTTTAAAACGGCATGTGGACAACAAGTGGCGTTTAAAACGGCATGTGGACAACAAGTGGCGTTTAAAGCGGCATGTGGACAACAAGTGGCGTTTAAAACGGCATGTGGACAACAAATGGTGTTTAAAACAGCATGTGGGGAATAAATGGCGTGTAAAGCGGCATGTGGACAACAAATGGCGTTTAAAACGGCATGTGGGGAATAAATGGCGTGTAAAGCGGCATGTGGACAATAAATGCCGTTTAAAACGGCATGTGGACAACAAGTGCCGTTTAAAAGGGCATGTGGGGAATAAATGGCGTGTAAAGCGGCATGTGGGCAATAAATGCCGTTTAAAACGGCATGTGGACAACAAGTGGTGTTTAAAACGGCATGTGGGGAATAAATGGCGTGTAAAGCGGCACGTGGACAACAAATGGCGTTTAAAACGGCATGTGGACAACAAGTGCCGTTTAAAACGGCATGTGGGGAATAAATGGCGTTTAAAACGGCATGTGTTTAAAACGGCATGTGGGCAACAAATACAGTTGAAAGCAGCCTGTACAAAAGACAACAAGCAGCATTAGTGGAGCTAGTGGTCCAGTGGCTCAGATGGAAAAGCACAGGTCTACGGTTCTGATGGTTGCTAGTTCAAATCCCCAGTGACTACCAATGGCATTTGCCGATGTTGGGTCCTTGGGCCTAACACTTCATGAAGAATGTCAGAAGTGCCATCAATTGTTTGAAAAATGTTGTTTGAGTAATAATAATATATGTTATTGTATAAATTTGTTGAAAGACTTAATGATTGGCGGACACACACCAGCTATACCACTCACCAGGTGGTTTTAAGTAAAATTGTGTCTTGAGTGTTTTACACATCATTTAGTTTTACCCTAACGATGATGCAATATTAATCCTAATGCAAGATTACTATTGCAACAACAGATAGCCATATGTATGAAATATATATTCATACATATTCAATTTGTATTTAATCAAAAAAATAAAGACCAGACCTGGATTTGAAACAGGAATCTTCCGCATGAAAGGCAGTTATAAACCAAGTGCGCCACAGGAATATACACTTTTTCAGAATCTAAACCACATATAATACATGAACTCAAGTCTTTCAACAAATTTTAAATTTAATTTATTATAACTCAAACTATATTTTTCAAACAACTTATGGCACTTCTGACATTCTCCATGAAGTGTTATGCCCAAGGACCCAACATGAGCAAATGTCATTGGTAGTCACTGGGGATTTGAACTAGCAACCATCAACACCATAGACATGTGCTTTTCCATCTGAGCCACTGGACCACTATCTCTAATGCTGCTGCCTGTTGTCTTTTGTACAGGCTGGTTTCAACTGTATTTGTTTTACACGCCATTTATTCCCCACATGCCGTTTTAAACGCCATTTATTGCCCAAATGCTGTATTAAACGCCATTTATTGTCCACATTCCGTTTTAAACACCATTTATTGTCCACATGCCGTTTTAAACGCCATTTATTGCCCACGTGCCGTTTTAAACGGCATTTGTTCCCCACATGCCGTTTTAAACGCCACTTGTTGTCCACATGCCGTTTTAAACGCCACTTGTTGTCCACATGCCGTTTTAAACGCCATTTGTTGTCCACATGCCGCTTTACACGCCATTTATTCCCCACATGCCGTTTTAAACGCCACTTGTTGTCCACATGCCGCTTTACACGCCATTTATTCCCCACATGCCGTTTTAAACGCCACTTGTTGTCCACGTGCCGTTTTAAACGCCACTTGTTGTCCACATGCCGTTGTAAACGCCATTTATTGTCCACATGCCGCTTTACACGCCATTTATGCCGTTTTAAACGCCACTTGTTGTCCACATGCCGTTTTAAACGCCATTTGTTGTGTACATGCCACTGATCAGCTGTGGCAGGTGCCGGTGCCACAAAAGGAGCCTGCCCTTTCTCTGTTTTTACGTGATTACAAACACTATCTTTTGCATTCTAGTAATAAGGAGCCCAGTGAGTCTATATTTGCCACTAAGAGCTGAGAGCTGATTGGCTGAGTGAGGATGGTCCTCTATTTACACTAGTGACAGAACCAAACTTGAATATTTGGTTTGAGTTCCAGAGCATACACATTTTTTTGCCTGATAAAAGTGCCCTTTGTAGTTAAAAAAATAACTGTCCACATTTCACTTCAATCATCTAAATATGTTAAACTTCTTTGTTTGATTAAGATACGTTCTTTTCTTGTGCAAGGACTTTACTGTCTGTAACTTTTTATCCCAAACCCAAAATGTACTAATTTTAGGTGATTTTTGATCTTGTTCTGGAGATGACCTCCACCTGCCTGTTTCCATAGGAATGTTCTTTCATTTCATGGATTGTGATTTTACTTACAATAAACAGGTGGCAAGGGGGAACAGTGGTTAGCACTTGTGTGCTTCACAGAAATGGGGTCCTGGATTCGATTCCACCTCCAGGCCTTCCTGTGTTTTCATGTTCTCCCTGTGTCTGTGTAGTTTTCCTCCAGGTTTGCCTAACACTAAATAAATAAACCTGTGTGAATGTCCCTGCTACAATTAGTGCTTTTCTCCAGACAATTAATACAAACTGCAACCTTTAAGACACTTTAAGATTTAAAGTTAATTCCTCAATGTCAATGAAACTGTCTGTGACAAAATAATAATAATAATAATCAAAATAATAAGTCCTGACACCAGTGTTTATGAACAACAGTCAAATGGTTTAGTCATGTTTTCATTGAGACTGTTTACACTCTCTGTGTTCTCTTATGCAAAAACACTTGGTGAGCACTACAGTATACACTGTTCAGCCAAAAACTACAGTACACTGTAAACCCTGTCAAGTAAAGTTTACTTGAAAGAACCATTAACTTCACTTGAACTCCTTGAGTACATACTTAATTTTGATGTTGCCAAGTGAACTCAATAGATCGTAATAAAGTTTAACTGTAATAACAACTGCCGAGAAGCGAAGGTGCTACCCACTCAGCCACCATGCCACCCTGTTTTAAAGATACCTAAAATTTTGAATTAAATGTTCAAAATATCAAAAGTGCGGCTTACTTGAACAGACAGCTCAATTCAAAGAAAGCCCTAAGTGGTATAGCCAAGCCTTAATTAAACTAACAATGAACAAGTAATATTTACTTAATGGGAATAATCTATTTAAAATAACTTTGATATCTGAAGTAAGATTGAAGTTAGGGTTTATTGTGTAAAGTTACACATGACTTTAGTGAAGTAACTGAGTACAAGACACATATGTACAGTATGTGCATGTATGTATACATGTTTTTATATATGTATGTATGTATACATGTTTTTATATATGTATGTATGTGTATGTGTATGTGTATATATGTATGTATGTATGTATGTATGTATGTATGTATGTATGTGTATGTGTATGTGTATGTGTATATATGTATGTATGTATGTATGTATGTATGTATGTATGTATGTATGTATGTATGTATGTATATGTGTATGTATGTATGTATGTATGTATGTATGTATGTATGTATGTGTATGTGTATGTGTATATATGTATGTATGTATGTATGTATGTATGTATGTGTATGTGTATGTGTATATATGTATGTATGTATGTGTGTGTGTATGTATGTATGTATGTGTATGTGTATATATATGTATGTATGTATGTATGTATGTATGTGTATGTGTATGTGTATGTGTATGTGTATATATGTATGTATGTATGTGTGTGTGTATGTATGTATGTATGTGTATGTGTATGTGTATATATGTATGTATGTATGTATGTATGTGTATGTGTATGTGTATGTGTATGTGTATATATGTATGTATGTATGTATGTATGTATGTATGTATGTGTATGTGTATATAAGGATGTATGTATGTATGTATGTGTATATATGTATGTATGTATGTATGTATGTATGTGTATGTGTATGTGTATATATGTATGTATGTATGTATGTATGTATGTATGTGTATGTGTATGTGTATATATGTATGTATGTATTTCACATAATTACTGCATATGCTCTTTTCAATTCATTGTGCAAAAATTACGTCACTTACTGTATTTACATAGAACAATGATAAGAAATAGCATTATGGTAGAACTGTTCTCAATTTTTAACATTACAACAGTACATATTATTGTAAACTGAACATACATTATTCCTGAACTGCCACACCTTCCTTTCTGGCCACATATTTTCATCTACATCACAGCTTCTTCCTTTGACAACACATTTTGACAGCTAGTTCAACAATTTTGTATGTAATGACTACTAAAGCAATGAAATTAAGATATTAGTTATGTAGGGAATGACTATTCAGCTTCATATATGTTTCATTTCGACTGACGGGACAGAAGCAAATCATAATGTTAAAAAACAGCAGAGAATTGTATGAAAATAACTGATACATGTCCAAATGCATTTGACATTTGTTTAAAGGAGAACCTTCTACGATGATGTGCACAAATGACTCAATGTTGTGGAGGTTGAACTAATAGTTTGGAGAACTTTAAGCCTGATCTGAGAAATGCACCAAAGTGACTGAAAAAACAAGAACACACACTATGCTCTCTGCACGCTGCATGAAGTATATATTGGGAACAGTGTCGGAGCTTTGTGTTTTGATGCCCCCTTCTGTTCAAGCGGAATATTACATGGCTAATGTTAAATCTTTTTTTTTTTTAGGAAATAATTGAATGAAATATTATGAAATAATAATAACATTACACTGAGAACCATAGGAACAATTAATTTATATAATATTAATCTGAGAAGGTTTTTTGTTTCACAAAAACTTAATAAATATTCATTTATTGGGAAAAAGGACATCGGCCTCGGGTGAGAGCCACGACACGCTGGAAGAATGCTGGCCTGGGAACGCCTTGGGGTCCCTCCGGATGAAGTGGAGGAAGAGTGTGTGGATAAGGAAGTCTGGGCGTCATGGCATGACTGCTACCCTCGCGACCCGGCAACGGATGAAGCGGACGAAAATGGATAGATGGATGGATAGTTGAAATTTGTGTTTATTGCCAGATGAGAAAATGAGGAATGATTAGGGAAATGCACAGGTGATACCCGAAATTGTGGCCTGGAAATTCAGGTCAAAAGTTTGAATTGGAATCTTAAACAATATGTGAGAAATTCAAGGAGAAAAAGCATAGTAATTTAAATAGAAAAGACATATGCACATACACTTAAAGGCTGTCAATTATTATAATGCTACACTCATGGATCTATAATAGGTTACACTAAACATAGCTAATAAAGCATTCAGCATCCATCTATCTATGTATCTAAGAATTGCAAATCAAACTGAAATAACAACATAGACATAGAAGCAGCAGGCGTATTTAATCTAAGGCTGAAACAAATTAGAAACACTAAATGAAATAAAGCATCCTCATAGTCGTGTCATAATTATTATAGTAATTATTATTATTGAGAGGCGGGGCTGGTGAAAGTTTTGCAAGTATGCTGTCTATGTGGGCTAGTTGTGTAAAATTATTTCACCATTCATGAGCTATCCTTTCACCCATTCAAATCCTTGGAGGGTTGTATCCAACTCCACAAAGAAAACCCTCGACCACATCCTTCCTTGTTTATAACGGTGGCATTACATTTCCCTTTAGAAGTACCAACATGCCTTGAAATTTCAATAGACAACCCTACTTGTTACATCAAAAGCTCATTCAAAAAGTGTAAAGGATTAAATATAGACAAGGAAGGAGGATTATTTTGTATTTGAATGCAGTGACAATTTGTTGGAGGTATCTGTGTTCTCGCGAGGTTTCGTGGGTGCAACTGTAATGCCACGTCTTATTCAATGTTAGTCCCATTGTAAACAGGGATATTACCACCGCAGCCCGTCACAACTGGCTCAGCAGATAGCAGCCTTTAGCAGACACACCGGCTGACAGATCCGTGCAGTTTGGTAAGCAACAGTTTTGACATTTGTCTCTGTTTTGCTGCAGAAACATGTTAGCATGTTGTGTTAGCTTGTTAGCATCCTTAGCCAAACTTAATTGGAACCACTGATTGCTGAGTTGTCTCCGTTTGATATGCGGCTTATATTGTAAGTGTAATTTAAAGTATCTGCATTTACCTATAAGGATGATCCTACGTTCACAACTTGTTGAGGTGAATGTTGAAACTGTAGAACACCTTTTCTGCATAACTCTAGCCTTGTAAGAACTTGTGTATAAATCATGGCCCAAGTAGTAAGGAAAAGTGTAGATGCTTGCCCAAAAAGCAGTGAAACCATTCCCTTACTTGCCTTTTTAAAATGTAAAATATATTATTGAAATTGTATTATTAGTCAGATTCAGATTTGTTACAGTAAAACTACATTAGAATTACCCCAGTGTGCACCAGCCAAGTACATAAATACACAAGCTTAAAATGAAACAAACTAAAAAGTAAAATAATAAAAAAGTTTTTAGTATGTCATGACGTCATCTGTAAAGTATATACGTAATTTAAGTCTTTAAATAGGTAAGATTAAGTATGTAGTAAGTAAGTAATCTTTATATACCGCCTTTCACAGACCAGAGTCACAAAGCGGTTTACAATTGTTATTTTTGGGCATTTGTCCTCTTACTCCACACAGAGATGGGAGCGGGGTCGCCGAACAGGAGGCGCATGCCAGACCTATTGTACATATTTTTAGTGGTAGGGGAAACCGGAGTACCCGGAGGAAACCTACGCAGACACGGGGAGAACATGCAAACTCCACTCAGAAAGGCCCTGGACCTTCTTGCTGAGAGGCGAGAGTGCTATCCACTCAGCCACCGTGACGCCCATTAAAGTATCTAGAAAAGCCGCTCTAGTAAAGTTTAGACATAATGAGTAAAGGTAAAACATTGAACTTGACACATTTTTTATTTGACTAAAAACAGAAAAAAATACTAGTATAGAACTTTAGTGAAAATATTTACCGTTACTTGTATGTTTTTTATGATTGCGTTTCCTGTGTTCGAACTGTTTGATTCTCTGATCTGTCTTAGAGACAACTGTAAAATCCTACAAAATATATACAAAAATATATTTAATTGTATTGATGCAAGTTGATCTTACTACAACTTATTACAAATGATAGAGTTAAAGTTGGTGCATTGTAGTTTTAATTTGAAATGAAGTGTGATAATATCTACTCCTCAAAACAAACAAATTAAGAACAAATGTCCATTTTAGATTTTTGTGTTCCATTGCAGCTTTATTATCAGCAATGTTTAACATGGGCGGCGCACGTGTGCTGGCGCTGACGGTCGCCACATTATCGATACTGCTGCTGTCCCCCACGGCTCACAGCCATTCCCACGGAGACCATCACCACGGACACGGCCATCATCACCATGGACACGATCACCATGGCCATCATCACCACGGACACTCTCACGACGATGAAGAGCCTCAGGCGAAGATGTTCCACGGAGCAAGCAAGTGGAGCGCGGAGGCGAATGTGGCCACAGAGCAGGAGCACGGGCACCATCATGGACATCACCATGGAGAGGGTCACCACGGACACGCCCACGATCACCATGGACACGCTCACGATCACCACGGACACGCAGATGAGAACATTGTCCGAGTGCACAAAGAAGAGGGCAGACACGGGGAGAAGCTGCAGGCTGAAGGACATAAGAGGGACACAGTGGAGCTCTGGACTCAGGTCAGTCTGACACAAAAGTTAATGCTAACACTTTACATTAGCCCTAACTAATTAACAGCTAATTAGTGTACCCTAACGCAAACCCTAACCCTCGCGCAGCTGTGGCTACAATTGTAGTTTATCACCATTGTGTATGAAATGAATTGAGAAGTGTCCAAAAAAAGTGCTATATAAAACCAGTGCATTATTATTATATAATAATACATTTTATTATATGTCAAAACAATGAGGTATATAAAAAGTTTCCAAAGAGATTGTGAGGTCCACTTTTCCATGTCATGTTTCACAATATTGCCTTCGTTTTGGAGAATGGACTAAACGTGAAGCTGTATTTATATCAGTCTGGTACTAGTTTGAAATGTTTTGTTTTTGACGCTCACTATGTGTCATATACAATAGGGTTGAAACAACTAATCGATTAATCGACGACTAATCGATTATTGAAATAGTCGACAACTATTTTAGTAATCGATTAATCGTTTTCTGGTTCACACGGACTCGAACAGAGAAAAAATGACATGAAAATGTAGTATTTTTGATTAAAACCGACTTTGTTTTTATAATTTCATGAATATCTGTCTGTCTCATCCAATCAGATAGCAGAATTAGCACAAAGAGCCTGTTACAAACATTTACTTTAAGTTTACGCCATCAATACGTCCTCGAGTGCTGCCACTTTAGCTTTTTGTGATGAAAAAATATTTTTTTTCTACACAATTCACAGCCAAGCGATTACTCGATTAATCGTAAAAATAATCGATAGATTAATCGATTTACAAAATAATCGTTAGTTGCAGCTCTAATATACAATATTATTGTTGTATCTTCATGTCCCTTTCATCTTTCAGGCACTTTATTGAAGTACATGCATTAAACTACACTGTTTATAAATTATGTCTCCGTAATAAAGATTTATTGAGGACTGTAGTTTCTGTACACTCACCGGACACTTTATTAGGTACACCTATCCAACTCCACTTAAATTCAAATTCCTAATCAGCCAATCACATGGCAACAACTCAATGCATTTAGGCATGTAGACATGGTCAAAACGATCTACTGCAGTTCAAACCAAGCATCAGAAAGGGGAAAAAAAAGGTGATTTAAGTGACTTTGATCGTGGCATGGTTGTTGGTCTGATCTGGGCAGGCTGAGTATTTCAGAAACTTCTGATCTACTAAGATTTTCACACACAACAATCTCTAGGGTTTACCGAGAATGGTCCAAAAAAGATAAATTATCCAGTGAGCGGCAGTTCGGTGGGCGAAAATGCCTTGTTGATGCCAGAGGTCAGAGGTGAATGGCCAGACTGGTTTGAGCTGATAAAGGCAACAATAACTCAAATAACCACTTGTTACAACCATGGTATGCAAGAGCCTTTCTGAACACAGAACACTTCAAACCTTGAGGGAGATGAGCTACAGCAGCAGTAGACCACACCGGGTGCCACTCCTGTCAGCTAAAAACAGAAAACTGATTGAAAAAAGTTGCCTGGTCTGATGAGTCTCAATTTCTGCTGCGACATTTGGATGGCAGGGTCAGAATTTGCAGTCAACAACATGGATCCATCCTACTTTGTATCAACAGTTCAGGCTGGCGGTGGGGGATATTTTCTTGGCACTCTTTGAGTCCCTTAGTACCACTTGAGCATCGGTACAACACCACAGACCACCTGAATATTGTTGCTGACCATATCCATCCCTTTATGACCACAGTGTACCATCTTCTGCTGGCTTCTTCCAGCAGGATAAAACATCTTATCACAAAGCTCAAATCCTCACAGACTGGTTTTTTGAACATGACATAAAGTTCACTGTACTGTGATGGCCTCCACAGTCACCAGATCTCAATCCAATAGAGCAGTGTTTCTCAAACTGGGGTACGCCCTCTAGGGGTACGCCAAAGAATCACTGTAAAACTAATTGACAGCCATTGATGCCAATTGACATCAACATTGTTTTTCAACTCAATCTTTTCTTGTCCTCTGTGTCCCCTGTATCATACAGTCTGGGGTTTGGCTAGGGACAGTATTTTATTAAGCCAGCAGATGGCAGCAGAGCTCCCTGGCTTGGTCAAAGACCACTGCCTGAGCACTCTGAGCGGGAGAGACAGAGGTGGAGTAATATAGTCAGGGTCAGGCTACATTTTGAGGCCGTTTGAGCTGTAAATGTATCTCCAGAGCTGACAGAGACCATGTGGAGGGTCAGGGCAGCAGACCATGTGGAGGGTCAGGACAGCAGACCAGCGGTGCATCCCAAAAAAGCCACAGAAAAGTGGACTATTGCTAAAACTATCACTGAGTCCACACCAGGAGCCAGCGGTAAAGTCCAATTATGGTCACAGCGCTCGCTGGACTAAACAGAACGACACAGAAACACACAAACGCGTGCATAAACGCACATATTTGGGCGCCCAAACACACAACGACACACAACAGTATTCTATTGCACTTATGTACAGTATATTGTGTGTTCACTTTGATTTATTTTCATTTATCGTGTTTATTATTGTAATTTCGCTCATCTCTGATTTACTCTTATTGACATGAATATAGTGCCACCTAAAGGATGAATACTGGCAATTCTTTCTGCCATAGTTTGTCATGGGCTCTACTTTCAATATGTACATTTAGACATTTTTTGGATGAGTACATTTTGAAACATTCGAGCAACACTTTGTGGATGTGAGTGTGCCATAAAACCTATAATTTTGTATCAAAAACACTTTCTCAGAACTTGTTGATGCTGTTTTCTAACATGTAAGATCCTGGACATGTTTGAGGAGATGCTAAAGTTAAACTTAATAGTGTTACAGTCCTTTTTCTGCAGGTTTGTCTGTTTTCATTTTCTCAGCTTTTTTCTAAGAATGGTGCTTTTTGTCACACTCCCCTCTTTTCAACTGGAGATCACAACAAAACAAGCTAAAAAAAAACCTATTTTTACAGCTGAAAGTAGACAGTTCTGTCTTTCAGACTCTGGTTTCATATTATTCATAGTCATAGCACACAATATTCTGTGAGTCTTGAAAATCAGTGAAGTCATCAACAATGGCTGGCAGTCAATGAGAACCTCTTTTTCAATGGAGTCGTGGACAAAAATTACATAAAATTACAGATTATAAAACGGTCACATACAGATTATACAACAGTAACACACAATTTCATAAAATTACAGATTACAAAAACGGTTACATTTCAACAAGGACGTCTCAGTCTCACAGTCTGGATCTAAAAGCATGCAAGGAAATAAGTTCAGATAATTTCCAGTCTTTTTGCAACACGTTCCATGTAGAAGGAGTTTTTTCCCTGTTCTGTGCAGGCAAAAAGAACAGAGAACAACAAAAGATCATTTGATGGCAAACCACATGAACATGTCTCTGTGTGAGTAAATGGCAGATGTAAGAGGGCAGCAGACCAAGCCTTAGAAACTAAAGTGCACCAGTGTCCAAACCTCCTGCTGGACAAAGATCCCACTCCAGAATATCACTCACAGTGAGGCTTTGCAGTTCGCAATGAATTGAACCTTTTAATTGAATAATTGTATTAAAGTAGTTTTTTTTCCTATATTTTATATTTTGCTGTTGAAACTGTGTAAAATGTTACATTAAATATTCTTCTTTAGGAATTACGCTACTGTGTAGTGTTGGTCATTTGTGGTGGTACTTGGAGCGGCAAGTTTTTTCTGAGGGGTACTTGGTGTGAAAAGTTTGAGAACCACTGCAATAGAGCAACTTTGGGATGTGGTGGAACAGGAGCACCATGGATGTGCAGCCGACAAATCTACAGAAACTGCAAGTTGCTACAAATATGGACCAAACTCTCAGAGGAATGTGTTCAGTACCTTGTTGAATCTATGCCACGAAGGATTAAGACTGTTTTGAAGGCAAAAGGGGGTCCGACCCGGTACTAGCAAGGTGTGCCTAATAAAGTGGCACGTGAGTATATGTCACTTGTAAATGTGTCCTTTTTATGTTGTACCCTTCCTCGCAGGCAGTGGGCGCCACTCTGCTGATCAGTGCAGCGCCTTTCCTGATCTTGTTTCTGATCCCGGTTCAGTCCAACAGCGACCAGCACCAGAACCTGCTCAAGGTCCTCCTCAGCTTTGCTTCCGGGGGGCTCCTGGGAGATGCCTTCCTCCACCTCATCCCTCACGCTCTGGGTTTGTCCTGCTCTCTCTGAAAAGTCAATATTGTCTATATGAATGTGATCCGTACACAGACTGAGCCGGATAGGACTTAAGCAAATAACCTTTCACTGCTGTTGACTATAAACCGATATCACTGCGATGTCTGTCATAAAAAGACTTATTGAGCTTAAAATGTGTTTCAAGCTTTTTCATTTCGGGTGCAGAATTCACATGAACTCTGATTATCCAGTAACTTTAGGCAATTCTTAGTGTAAAGGCTGAATTTACTGTTAGTGCTACAGTACTGCTATTATATTATTTTATATGTAATTTACTCAATACATTTGAATTCAAAAAAGAAAATGACTGATTCCTATGGTCTTATTGAGTTAAATCAAATGAATGCTTTTTAACTAACTTACTATTGTCTTGAAACAAAATTATTTTCTGTGCGGCACTTTGGAAACAGTCTCATATATAAACTTTGCTATTTATACTATATACACACAGTCTTTGTGTGTGTGTGTATGTATGTATGTGTATATATATATTACATATATATATATATATATATATATATATATATATGTAATATATGTATGTATAGTCTATACTATGATATATTTATTTAGTGGATCAGATACACATACATACATACAAGTGTACTATTCTTTTTCTAAAAATCTTTATTCTTTGCACAGAGCCACACTCGCATCATGGAGAAGATCACGGACACTCGCATGAAAGTGAAGACCACGGCCATTCTCATGGTGAGCTCTTTCTCTTCATTCAGGGTTTGGATGGAGAGACAGATGTGCATGAAAGTTTACACTTCCAGGCAGACTTCGGAGTTTTTAAAGACCTGTTTCAGAGATAAAAAATGATAACAACACTCTTTTTGTGACTCATTAACAGTGTTTCCTATGAAAGTATTTCATTCTTCTATACCAGACGTTAGTGGGTTAACATCAGCCGCTGTCAGCGTCATGTGTGACGATGCAAGATGCTTCTGAGAACGACGAAACATGTTATTGTAATAAAATCGCTAACCCAAAATTGTCTAGTATAGAAGAATCATATACTTTAATTTCTTCCACAAAGACGAGATGAATCTTCCCAATATTGTTTCCTTTTTTCAAAAATAATGACAACAGAAACTTCTCTTAAACTTAAATCTCACCCGTTTTAATTTTTCAATTGTAAAGTCTGAGAGACAAGACACTGTTGTTATGTAGGACATTGCAAAATTAATAAAATATATGACAGTCTTTTGTAGTAGTTGTGGATGAGGTTCTTTCTCTTCCTTTGATGGTAAATCTGTTCGTTCTTTTTGGCAAAAAGCCTCTAGTTCTTGTAAATTAATGGGCCACTTTGCATGTTCATGCTTCCCCAGAGCATCGCATTTATGTCTTACTTAAAAAATTGAAAATAAGTTTATTCGACAATATTAGTCTTCATACAAACTAACTGAGTGGGTCCTGTTTCTCACGTCCTGTGTCCAAAATATTTCCAAAGCTGTGGCTGTGAACCGGTGAAGAGAAGGCTATTGCAATGTGCTCCACTTACTTTCAAACTGTAAATGCTGCGCTCATAAGATGGATTCCAATGTATAATGTACATTAAGCTGTCCTTGTGATAATCTGGCCTTCAGGAGCTGCTCACGGTCACATGATGTCTGTTGGTTTGTGGGTTCTTGGTGGGATCATCGCTTTCCTGGTCGTGGAGAAGTTTGTTCGTCTGATAAAGGGAGGACACGGTCATGGACATTCTCACAGCCACACACATGGTAAAAGATAAGAGCTCTATTTTGACTTTTCTCTTAATTTAAGGATAACACAACACTTCAGTCTGCTGTGTATGACTATCTCTGAGACCTGTGGCTCTTTAATACATAATAATGTTTAGATTTCTACTATTAAAACATTAGTCTCAAGTCTAAACGCATTTGTCATGCATGTACAGCTAGATATGTATGATGCATTTAATTGTTGTTGTTTAAGCTGCTCCAAAAGAAAAAGACAGTGATGGTGAGGAGGAAAAAAAGAAGGATTCCGGTGACAAGAAGCAGGACGTGAAGCAGGAGGAGAAGAAAAGTACAGGTGAAACGATAAACTGTTATTGGAATGTGATCAAATATGTGTTGTAACAGGTGTTGCTTAAAATATTTGGCATAAACCGGATGGATTCAAAAGCTCTCAGTCGTACAGGGATACTCACATAGACAACAGAAAGTAAACTGCACACACAGGGGGGGGGGGGTACTCTGCCTGTACTCGAGCTGAAATTTACAAACTTGCTCAGCAAGGGGGGAGCAGTGCTGGTTTTGATTTTGTACATTAAACAAATGTTTTTCAATTTTATACGATTGTCCCAGTTTAATAATTCGTATTTCTGCAAGATATGGCAATGGTGATACCCCTAGGGTTTTTTATCTAGTGTTTTTAGAGCTTGTTTATAAAATGATTTCATTGGACCGATTGTTGTAGCGTGTATGTTAGACCAGCTCATGATGAAATAGATGATGTGAGACATGATCATCGCAAAGAATGTTTTCTGTGTGGAAAAGATATGCACCATTTTAACTATGTGTAAGCCAACTCATCCTTGACCCTTTTTGAACACTTGCAGAAAAAAAATTATAAAATGCTAGTTATCAGATTTGAAAATAAAAATAGAAATAAAAACAAACTAAACAAATAATAAGATGATCACACAACTCACACGGTGTTAAAAGCCAGAGAGTAATATCCGTCTTAAGATGAGACATTCCAACGAGGGAGCTGTTTTGGGGGGGCAGAGCGTTCCACAGCTTTGGTCTAGCCACAGAGAAGGCCCTGTTGGACCTCAGCGGGTGATAAATTTGGATCAGGTCCGAGATGTAAGGAGGGGCCAGTCCTTTCAAAACTTAAAAAACAAGCGATACAATCTTAAAATTAATTCTAAAATTAACAAGAAGCCAGTGCAAAGAAGCTAAAACCAGAGAAATGTGCGCATGTTTTTTGGTTCTGGACTAACTGTAAGCGGGAAAGTGCCTTATTCAAAATGTTACATTTGAACAAGTGCTTCAGCAATTGTCCTGGCGACATTCACTTTCATGTTGATGTCCTAAAATTTGAGCCAGCTATAACGTACTTTTTGTTGACCTTTTTATTTTAAATCACTTTAATAAAGCAAACGTATAAACACGATCATGTCATTTTTTGTGACACAAAGTAATCCAAAAGTAATGTAACGTACTTTCTTGTAGAAGTAACTAAGTAATGTAACTAATAACTTTTTCTAAGTAACTGGCCCAACACTGATGGAGAGAGCCCTGTCTATTTGCATCTAATTGTAATAATTACCATGTAGCTTTCTTTGCATAAAGGTCTGTGACGAATGGAACGTGACCGCTGAGGTATGAATGGAATTCCTTTTGAAATGCACTCAAAACAAGTGCGCATCGGTGAATTTGATAATATACAATTAACCTCTTATAAATGACGAACAGGTTCGCAGTGTGCCTTTGACATAAGGACATGATTAAGCCTCTAGATCTTCCACCCATCACCTGACCTTTATGCTACTTTCACACTTAATTTTACTCATGCTCAGTTTCTGTGGACAATAATTACCCACTTAAATCTGTGTATCCATCGGCCCATTGTTGTCTTAAAGACCTTATGACGGGTTTAAAAAAAAAAAATAGTGGATATCAAAATTGCATGACAATGTCAATCTGAAAGAGATTCCGGAAAAAAAAATCCTATATTTTATAAAAAGAACGTGTTTTTCATGATTTTAAGTTGTCTATGCTCTAACCTGTGTGTGACGTCATAGCGGGTTACGCCCATGCATTGAAAACCATGGATCTATGCCACAGGACTGCCTTTTCTCTCTTCTCTCCACTGATGCCCAACACAATACTGCCCTCTACAGGTGACAATTGCTCACTACACATAAATTGCCGTTTTGAGTGTGAAAAAGTGTCTGAGGTGGGATTTGAACCCCAGTATCTGGATTGGCAGTCCATCGACACAACCACTGGACTATCTCAGTGACAACGAAACGTATCATTCTAGTAGTTATCTCAGACTCGCTGTACACGGCCTTGTCATCTTGAATATCCGCGAAAAAAGAACGAATACCAAATTGTAAACAACTTACAGCGTTGAAACGTACCCACTCTGACGTCACCAAGGGCTGTGAAGTTTTTTCGTTTCTAAGGGCGTTGCTATGGGGTTATTTCGATTTGGGGGGATCAGACAAAAAAAACAACAACTGATTTTGAAACCTTTAGTAGTTCTCTTCTAATATAAAATGGTATTAAAACTGTATTTATAAATAAATCAAACCCGTCATAAGGTCTTTAATGGGAAATGTCTTGGTAATTGGGGAAAGCCACTTCAGAGAGAGTGACATGATGTGCTTCTCTGGTCCCATTTCACCTTGGAGAGACCCATGAGGGAAAATGCAGTTAGAGTTTAGGATTAAGCATGTTTGGCGCCCTAGGCCCGGGAGAGATGCTGTTGAGCGCGGCGCTTGATCGCGCGCATAATCCCCCCCGGGGCCTAGGCACTGGTGACGGCAGAGGCAGTAGGCAAGCACGCTTCGATGAGAGAAGGAGGAGGTGGGGCGGCGGAGGCTTGCAGACTTCAGAAGGCCGGGAAATGGGCATCTCCGGCTTTTAACTTGCTGTCCTGGTGGTTATTGGTTGATTAGATGTGGGCGTTGCTGGTATGATGAGTCGAGGATGAGCAGGCTTGTAGGTCTGGGCAAGCAGCAGCCGGGTCTACCACAGTGAACTTTCGCGAAAGCTCCATTTCACCTTGGAGAGACCCATGAGGGAAAATGCAGTTAGAGTTTAGGATTAAGCATGTTTTCCGCCCTAGGCCCGGGAGAGATGCTGTTGAGCGCGGCGCTTGATCGCGCGCATAATCCCCCAAAAAGCGGGCCTGCGATGGGATAGCAGGACGCACTGTGCAGGCCTGAGAGCATGAGTGCGAGGCTTCTCGCACGGTCGCTCAGCCGGGCTGCGTCCGCTGGGGCATCTTTGAGCGCTGGGAACGTGAGCGCTCGCATCACGTTCGACCAGACGCTGCAGCAGAGTTATCTTTGAGCGCCGGGACGTGAGCGCTCGCATCACGATCAACCGGACGCTGCAGCAGAGTTATCTTTGAGCGCCGGGACGTGAGCGCTCGCATCACGATCAACCGGACGCTGCAGCAGGGTTATCTTTGAGCGCTGGGACGTGAGCGCTCGCATCACGATCAACCAGACGCTGCAGCAGGGTTATCTTTGAGCGCCGGGACGTGAGCGCTCGCATCACGATCAACCAGACGCTGCGGCAGAGTTATCTTTGAGCGCTGGGACGTGAGCGCTCGCATCACGATCAACCAGACGCTGCGGCAGAGTTATCTTTGAGCGCTGGGACGTGAGCGCTCGCATCACGATCAACCGGACGCTGCAGCAGAGTTATCTTTGAGCGCTGGGAACGTGAGCGCTCGCATCACGTTCCGTCAGACGCTGCGGCAGCGGAGAGTGTTTGAGAAAAAGTGCGTGCCGCCACCAGAATCTTATTGCTTCACTTACTTTGCTTCGTATTGCTTTGCTGGGAGCTTACGAGGAAGCCAGTAGACGTTGTGCAGCCAGGATAGCGGACGCGTCTGGCCTGATGTAGGCGGAGAAAGCCGAAGAGGAACAGCGCCCCAGCTGTTGCAGAGAGGTGTGGGGGAGCCCCAGCGAGGCCGCGCGCGTGGCAGCGCCTATCCTGAAGGAGTGGGCTGTATAGAGCTGGGGAGACACATTGCAGAGGAGCAGTAGGGATCTTAGCTGAGCTCTGAACCAGGTTGCTGTCATGGGAAGGTTGTCTGGAGTGAGAATTAGAGGTCCGTTAAAATCTCCTTTTTGCAGCGGAGGCGAGTGTAACGCATCATGGACCTGTAGGGGCAGAGAGATGTGTCGGAGCGAGCTATTATTATGTTGCAGGCGCCTTGGTCTTTGAATGTTTGAGATGAAGGTTGAATGGTCAGGGGACATTATGTTGGGTGACAAAGAGCGACCTTTGTTTAATGCTTCCACTACGTCGAGATTATCACACATGACAGAGATCCTCTTTCTCTGCCACGTGTGATTCCACAGCGCGCAGGCCACGACCACTGGGAATATCTCGTGTAGGGCAGAGGAGATGCTCCGGTGGAAAGTAGCGGCCACGGCCCGGCAAACGAATGGTCCTGGAAGAACCCCCCAAAACCCATGGAAGGGGCAGCGTCCGTGTAGAAGCGGAGACCTGTAGGGGCAGAGACATATCGGAGAGGGCCATTGATGTTGCAGGCGCCCTTACGCTTAGAATCTTGGGTTGGAGAGTAGATAATCAGGATAGTAGGATGGTCGGGAAAAGCCGTGTCTCGGACCGCATGAAGGTTGAGTGAGCAGTAGTGAAACGCTTATGCAGAGAAGCCATAGAAGGCGAGCAGGAAGATGCTGCGAGGAGGGCAGACATGTACTTGGAAGATGAGCCGGAGTTCAGTGCCGCTCAGAGCCGCTGCAGGATGGGCAGCATGATGGGGAGCCTGCGATCAGAAGAGTGAAGAATACAGGTATGGATGCCTTTGATTAGGAGTCCGATTGACAGCTCAGCGCAGCTACTCGGCCAGCTGCATCTGATAGAATCAGAAGATTAAGTAGAGAGATGAAGCATGACCGCCGAAACGACCCTGGGAGTATAGGTGCGAGTCCAGCGCAGCGCGGCATACTCAGCCGGGCTGCATCCATTAGAAGCAGGATAAGCTTCTGAGAGAGTGGGTTGCAGCAGTAGCAGCAGCGGCAGCAGCAGTAACCTCAGATAATAACAGCAATAATCCTGTATCAAGCTGCGGCAGCAGCAGTAGCAGCAGCAGCAGCAGCAGCAGCATCCTTAGAAAATAGCAGTAATAATCCTGTATCAAAGCCACAGCAGTAGAATGTTGTTGTAGCTGTTCAGTGTTTCAGTAAAAGAGATGCGAGTGAAGAGAGATGGCAAAGTAAATGAAGCAGCAGCAGCAGTAGTAGCAGCAGTAGCCGTATGAAGCAGCAGCAGTAGCAGTAGCAGTATGAAGCAGCAGCAGCAGTAGCAGTATGAAGCAGCAGCAGCAGCAGCAGTAGCAGTATGAAGCAGCAGTAGCAGCAGCAGCAGTTGCAGCATCCGTAGATAATAACAGCAATAATCCTGTATCAAAGCCACAGCAGTAGAATATTGTTGTAGCTGTTTAGTGTTTCAGTAAAAGAGATGCGAAGTGAAGAGAGATGTCAAAGTAAATGAAGCAGCAGCAGCGGCAGCAGTAACGGTAGCAGTATGAAGCAGCAGAAGCAGCATTAGCAGGAGCAGCAGCACCACAATGCGATTCATACGAACAAACAGACTTGTCACGCCAGCGTGCGCCGCTTGTCTCCGTGAGCCAGGTTACATACGTGTCTGAAAGAGCCGAGCCGTAGAGACAGGTGCAGCCTGGGAGCCTGCGGAGCGGCAGCGGCAGGAACAGCAGCAGCGGCACATGTAGTAGTAGGAGCAGGCAGCAGGGACAGACAGCAGCAGGAGCGGCAGCAGGAACAGGCAGCAGCAGGAGCGGCAGCAGGAACAGGCAGCAGCTGGAGCGGCAGCGGGAACAGGCAGCAGCGGGATCAGGCAGCAGGGACCGGCAGCAGCGGCGGTCAGAGAACCATGCCCAGGGTTGTTTAAGAGCCTGAGGAAATAAATCAACCCGAATCCGAAACATTCCCATGCGAATAACAGATGTCCCCTGGAGCCATCTTGCTGCTTTGGTTATGGCAGATACGCATGAACGATCACTTTTCCACGCGTTCATTAGCTCCAACTCCACTTCACACCCATTGCAGATTCACATTGGGCCCTTTTTCTTTCTGCTGCACTTTCAAAATGCAACAACTGCAGTTTAGTTACCTAATTTAATACCAGTGACCTAGCTATTTAAATGCATGGCCCATCCTTCCTCCCGCAGATAGACGAATTTAATACATTCATTTAACAATAGTGACCTGCGAGTAATGAGATTAATGCTGTAAAGATGGCGCCGTGGCAAGAGCTCTGGTGTGGGCCGTCTGGAGCACGATGGGGTAGTCTTGCAAATTTTTCCAACGTGGTTTTACTGCACGTGGCAGAACATGAATCTGAATTAATGCACATTGCTCCTCTTATACCCCTCAGACATTGGAGATTGATGCCATTTAATATGCATTGCCCCTCAGTTAGCTCAAACATATGTGAAAACAAAGCCTGCAGACCAAGCACGGGGCAAAAACTGACGCCTGCAGTCCAGTGCGCAGGGCAAAAACCAACCGCCTGCAGCCCAGATTCCGGGATTAATCCGTCCGCGGTCAGCACACTCACATGCCAGGAGACTTGGGAAAAGCAACGGGACAACGCGGCACCGCCGATCGGAGGCAGGGACACGCACGGCACCGCCAGACCGTCTGCACGCGGCAGCAGACCACGAGGAGACGAGCAGCACAGAGCCCGCGGAGGGGCCCCGCGGAGCAGCCCGCAGAAAGAGCCCGCAGAGGAGAGCAGTGGAGACACGCGAACCACAGCAGGTGCAGGGACGCGGAGGAGGAGCAGACCACAAGCAGCCAGACTGAGAACAGCCGGGCCACGCGCACGAGCAGCACGTGAGCAGAAGCGACCCCTCCAGAACAACGCATGCATTTGCGAACAGGTGCGTTAGCGACATGCACCTTGCAGACTTCAGAAGCTTGCAGACTTCAGAAGGCCGGGAAGTGGGCATCTCCGGCTTTTAACTTGCTGTCCTGGTGGTTATTGGTTGATTAGATGTGGGCGTTGCTGGTATGATGAGTCGAGGATGAGCAGGCTTGTAGGTCTGGGCAAGCAGCAGCCGGGTCTACCACAGTGAACTTTCGCGAAAGCTCCATAACACCAATGCCCTGAACAAGAAGGGCCAACGTCGCCTCTTCCTTCTGAGGAGACTTAGGTTCTTCGGAGTGAGCAGGCCTCTGCTCAGGACTTTTTATGACTCTGTGGTAGCGTCTGCCATATACTACGATGCCGTGTGCTGGGCCCCGGGCAGCACAGAGCGGGACAGGAGTAGAACAAGCTGGTCAGGAGGGCCAGCTCCACTCTGGGCTGCCCCCTGGACTCTGTGGAGGAGGTGAGGGACAGGAGGGTGCCAGTCAAAGTCACCTCCATCATGAACAACACCTCCCACCCACTGCACAGGACTGTAGAGGAGCTGAGGAGCTCCTTCAGTGGAAGCCTGAGGCACCCTCAGTGCAAGAAGGAGCGCCTCTGCAGGGCCTTTATCCCCACCGCTGTCAGACTGTACAATAAGTCACTTGCATTAGGACTGAAAAAACCTGCACTACTTACTTATTGACACTGTTTCTTGATTGCCACTTTTGAATTGACATTTTTTATTGTACATAATATATCCTCCGTTTAACATGTTTGCACATTTCTTTCTTTTGCACAATCTTGAGTGTTTCTATCCATGCCAGATGTGACATGTAAATTTCTCTTGTGTGAGATCAATAAAGTCTATCTTATCTTATCATTGATACAGATATCAAAGTGTCTGGTTACCTGAACCTGGCCGCAGACTTCACACATAACTTCACAGACGGCTTGGCCATCGGGGCGTCGTTCCTGGTCAGTCCAGCAGTGGGTGCCGTCACCACAGTCACCATCCTTCTTCATGAAGTGCCGCACGAGATTGGAGACTTTGCCATTCTGGTCCAGTCAGGATGCACCAAGAAAAAGGTAACAGAGGTCATGCACAAGATAAAAACTGAAAAATCTATTTGTTGTCATAAAAACATGTGGTGGTGTGTTTTTAAGACTGGGTTTAGTCCTGACTCTGATGAGGCCGGGGACATTGTCTACATAAGAGAGAGAATACTAAATCTGCATAGAGACACTTATGTTATGACGAAGGTAATAGCCCTAACACACCCAGGGTTAGGTATAAAATTAGATCAACTAATCTTTGAAGTATACATGTTCATTATACTTCCAGGTCATGACAGAGATCCACTTTATCACAAAGGAATCTGAAGTCTATCAGGGTTTTATGGCACACTTTTCATATTTTTCTTATTTTCCTGGTTTATCTTTTCTATTTGACAATTAAAAGGCAAGTTGATCAGTATAGCACAGTTCATACATAAGGAAAGTCAAAGTGCTGAACGAAACAACAAAACATTATAATCACACAAGGAAAATCATCACTTATATTATTAATAATCACAGCACATTATGAAGAGTAAAGATACAATCCCTTTGTTGTATGCACAGCTAAACAGAAACTGTTTTTAACTTGTGTTTAAACTTTGTCAGATATAGTATACTGTATAAGAATGATGTAAACCATATTTGACCCCGTACCCTTCTATTGGGACAGTAATACACATAATATCACAAGAAGGGGTGGGACCAAACCAGAGACAAGATTGGGACTTTTATGTTATTGCTTATAATAAGTGGAAAGAAGCTAGGACTGCTACTACCTTCTTTACACTTTAGAATCTTCTATGCCTTATGCAGTGTTCAGACCGGATCATGCGTTGCAGCGGCTTTCAATGCAAAGGCACTGTATATATATGTATATATATATATATATATATATATATATATATATATATATATATATATATATATACAGTGCCTTGCGAAAGTATTTGGCCCCCTTGAACCTTTCAACATTTCGCCACATTTCAGGCTCCAAACATAAAGATATAAAATTTTAATTTTTTGTCATGAATCAACAACAAGTGGGACACAATCGTGAAGTGGAACAAAATGTATTGGATAATTTAAACTTTTTTAACAAATAAAAAACTGAAAAGTGGGGCGTGCAATATTATTCGGCCCCTTTACTTTCAGTGCAGCAAACTCACTCCAGAAGTTCAGTGAGGATCTTTGAATGATCCAATGTTGTCCTAAATGACTGATGATGATAAATAGAATGCACCTGTGTGTAATCAAGTCTCCGTATAAATGCACTTGCTCTTTGATAGTCTCAGGGTTCTGTTTAAAGCGCAGAGAGAACCATGAAGACAAAGGAACACACCAGGCAGGTCCGAGATACTGTTGTGGAGAAGTTTAAAGCCTGATTTGGATACAAACGATATGTTTGGCGTAAAAGCAACACAGCTCATCACCCTGAACACACCATCCCCACTGTCAAACATGGTGGTGGCAGCATCATGGTTTGGGCCTGCTTTTCTTCAACAGGGACAGGGAAGATGGCTAAAATTGATGGGAAGATGGATGGAGCCAAATACAGGACCATTCTGGAAGAAAACCTATTGGAGTCTGTAAAAGACCTGAGACTGGGATGGAGATTTATCTTCCAACAGGACAATGATCCAAAACATAAAGCCAAATCTACAATGGAATGGTTCACAAATAGACGTATCCAGGTGTTAGAATGGCCAAGTCAAAGTCCAGACCTGAATCCAATCGAGAATCTGTGGAAAGAGCTGAAGACTGCTGTTCACAAACGCTCTCCATCCAACCTCACTGAGCTCGAGCTGTTTTGCAATGAAGAATGGGCAAAAATTCTAGTCTCTCGATGTGCAAAACTGATAGAGACATACCCCAAGCGACTTGCAGCTGTAATTGCAGCAAAAGGTGGTGCTACACAGTATTAGCGCAAGGGGGCCGAATAATATTGCACGCCCCACTTTTCAGTTTTTTATTTGTTAAAAAAGTTTAAATTATCCAATAAATTTCGTTCCACTTCACGATTGTGTCCCACTTGTTGTTGATTCATGACAAAAAAATTAAATTTTATATCTTTATGTTTGAAGTCTGAAATGTGGCGAAATGTTGAAAGGTTAAAGGGGGCCGAATACTTTTGCAAGGCACTGTATATAATCTTTGTCTTTGAACTAGCTTGCGTTTTAACTAGGGCTGTCCAAAATAGCGCATTATTAACGCGTTAACGCAAATCAATATTAACGGCGTCATTTTTTTTTATCGCGCAATAAAAAAAAAAAAAAAAAAAAAAAAAAATTTTTTATTTTTTACTTTTTATTGCAGACAAACACATATACAGAAAAAAAAATAGAAACAAAGAAAAGGACTAGTTAAGATACATTGTAGACAGAGATTACAAACAATATGTAGTTGGAGATACAGGGGGCCAAAGAAGAAACCCAGAAGGGCACATAGGAGGGGAGGGGGGGGGACATGAAGTGGGAGATGGGGGGAGGGGTTAATAAAAAAGGCAATACTAGCAAACAGTATACAGTCATAGATATACCGAAGGTAAACAGAGAAACAGCATAGAGTATTTACATGAACAAATTTACAAAATATTTACAGATTGTTTATCATCATCATAATGACACCATGATGTTTCTATACAGTCTATGGTCTATACCCACACATACACACACACACCCACACACACACACACACACACATTGAAGGGGCTTTTTGTTACCAATTATTTATTTTGTCATCCATTTATTGATGATTTTGCATCAAATGTTAGTGTGTAATATAACACTACACATTGTTTTCAATAAAAAAAGCAATTGCACACAGCACGCAAATGTGTGACTAATTTGCGATTAATCGCGATTAAATATTTTAATCGTTGGACAGCACTAGTTTTAACACTTCCTGTTCTTTCCTGTTCTATCCTGTTGCCCAAACACATTTCTGATCTTTTTGTCAATTTTTTTGCTCCAATGATTCACAACTTTTGTTTTGTGAGAGGTATGTTATGATGTATGATCATGATCACTCTGGATGAACTGCAGATAACTACAGCTGAGGTGGGGGAGTCCTCCTGTGGACTCACCACCTGCAGAGGGTCAGTGAGGGGCTGGTGCTATGAGACTTGGGTGGCATCTCTGATTGCCACCCCCCTGACCCAGAAATGGATTAAAGGGTAGACAATGGATGGATGGATGGATGTTATGATGTAATCAAAGTCATGCTGTTTGCTTTCCTTTGATAACATTATGAAAGACTTATTTGTGGCGCCATCCTGTCAGACCTCTGAAGCTGAGCAGGGCAGGGCCTGGTTAGTTCTGTTATGGGAGACCTCTGGGAACACCAGGTGCCAGAGTGGGGCGGCTGCGGCAGTATATTGCCAAACTGCCTTTGTGTCCTTAGACAAGACACTTCACCCACATTAGAGTCTGGTGTGTGCGTGAATGGTTGGTGATGGTTGGAGGGGCAGATGGCACAGACTGGTTACCTCGTTTCCATCAGTGTGCCCCTGGGCAGCTGTGGCTACAGTAGTAGTTTAGAGTGTATGAAGTGTTGAAACGTTCTGTATCAAACCACATAACTAACATGAATTGTGTGTAATCGACTTAATGGGTGATTAAACAAATGCTTTCTGAGCGTCATGAAGTGAAATACAGTAGGAATTTAATATTGCCAATGTTCTTCACTTTGTTCATATACCGCTCCCACTAAATGGAATCATCATGTAGGAATTTAGGCACGAATGATAATCATTTGTGCTGCTTTCTGTTGTGATCTTCTGCTCTGACTCATCCTGAAGTGACAAAGCTCTAATCCCATCTTTGTGAATCTCAAAGTGGACAGTGCATGGTTTTACTACAGATCTACAGGCCTGATGATGCGTGTTGTGTGATAGTGGGCTCTTTTGTGGTTGCTCAAAATGTAAATAATATTAATGCTGAATGTGCGTAAATAATATGAAAAATCTTCTCATATACCTTTTATTTTTGTTCCTTAAATGGGAGACTATTTACTTTCATATTTTAGAATGTAAAATAATATCTTTAGTAAAACCAGGTGGGGTATGTGTGTTTTGGTCACAATAGTACATGAACATTTTACTATTACAGGACTGAGGCGCCACATACAGAACACAGACCACAATCCAAAAATACGTTTTATATGGAAGAACTCATAAAAAATGAACATGCTGGATATAAAATGTGTTTTAAAGTCTTTCCATTAAGGGATGATTTAAAGGCAGAGGACTAATTTCCCTATTTAGAGACCATGAAGTAAACCTTGAACACTCTGAAGATGTTTATTATTTCCCTCTCCCTCACAGTACAGCTTAATTTTAAAGCTAGAGACCCCTCAACTGACAATGTTACACAAATGAAAATGAATTGAGAATAGATTGTTACTAAGGTTACTACATGTTTGTGCCACAAGTTCCTCATACTAACCAGAATGGATCTACAGTGCATCCGGAAAATATTGACAGCGCTTCAATGTTCTCACATTTTGTTATGTTACAGCCTTATTCCTAAATGGATTCAATTCATTTTTTCCCCTCTAAAATTCTACACATTAAACCCCATAATGACAACGTGAAAACAATTTTTTGGGAAATTTTTGCAAATGTATTACAAATATCTCTCCCCTGGACTGCCACCTTAACGTGGTGGGGGAGTTTGAGTACTTGGGTGATCCTGGGAGCTATGCTGTCTGGGGCTTCATGCCCCTGGTAGGGTCTCCCATGGCAGACAGGTCTCAGGTGACGAGTCAGACAAAGAGCGGTCCAAAAACCACCATGGACAGCACTAAAATGAGACCAGTGACGTCGCCCGGCATGGCGCAGCCGGGGCCCCACCCTGGAGCCAGGCCTGGGGTCGGGGCTCGTATGCGAGCGCCTGGTGGCCGGCCGGGCTCAGCCCGAAGGGACGACGTGGGCAGTCCCTCCTGTGGGCCACCACCTGCAGAGGGGTCCGTGGTGGCGCGGTGCTAAGAGGACTGGGCAGCAGTCGAAGGCGGAGACCTCGGCGACCCAGTCC